AACAGATTTAATTTTTTTGGTGGCCCTTAAAAGGGCCTAGTAAAAAAATGTTAAGATTGTTTTTTCTTGCTGAAACAGGTTTCCATTTTCCTTCCAGGAGAAGCACGGGTCGATCTTGTGGTCGTGGGCGGAAAAGAAAGAGAATGACGTTCTGCAACAAAAAATCTATCAGGATAAGATACTATTGAAGACCACTCGACGCAGGCTTCAGCTTTCAGGATCGTTTCACCTGCTTCACACCGCTGCGCCCTCGGCGCTCTCCATGGATGTGAAGAGCGCCACTACGGCGGCCAGTACTTGTGCCTCAATATCTTCTTCTTGCGGCGGGTAGTCGGCCGATGATTCAGAAAGAGACGAGTCAACACAAGGAAACATCTCCTCGATTTCCTCCTCCGTAGGGGTTGGCATTAAATGGAAAATTCGAGGGTCCCATACATGGAGCATTCTGATTTTATCGTGCTCCTCTTCCTGTATGGGAGAAACAGTGAATTGTTCTGACCTCAAAGATATTATTTCGAGGTCTTCTTCACTGTCAGCCCAGCTGGTGCCGCCATAGGACAAGTCTACGAAACCACGCGGTGTCAATGGAATGACAGGCGTGTATGTTGTTTCGAAGACTACGGCGGCCGGTTCAGCTGTAGGCGAGGCCTCTTTGTAAGCATTGCCACTGGTCTCTTCCACTTGCAGAGACCTACTTCCGGAGTGGCAAGCATTTTGATCCAAGGCCTCTGTCGAATTTTGACTTTTCTTTCTTTTTTTTTCTGTAGCGGCCATCTTGCCCCCAAAGCAAGACATCAAAAGTTGTTGGACTTTTTTCATCACCGGCATCTTGAGAGTCAGCAGGAAACCCGAGTGAAAGGCGTCGCAATCAAATGTTGTGAAAGTACGGACCTCCGGGAGTACGAGAGCCATCCTGCCAGATGACGCAATGCGCTCACGGTGGTGCAGTGAACGCGAGAGTAAATAATATTGTATAACTATGGCGTGTTCACTTTCGTCATACATGTACCGTGTTTTAAAAAAAGGAAGTTGTGGTGTATTAAGTCTTAAGTACGCAGAGATGAGAGAATTGGTTAAGAAGGCGAAGGCTGCGATCAGTTTTATCATTTTATGTTTATTCTTGTGCAGTCATACAATAGTAGTCAGTTAACATTAACGTTTTTAGCGGGTTTTCCGCAATATGCCAGAATGGACTATTGGGGCCAAAATTAGATTACATCACACCCTCGCTCTGCTTCTGAAGAACTCTGTCGAAGAGACATGGTTTCAGGATATCGAGACGTGAACGAGTGTTTCTGCCCAGAAGAAGTTTTGCTGGTGACTCTCCTGTTGTGGCGCGTGCAGAATTTCGGTATGCCATCAGAAAACGTGAAAGTTTCATATGTGCAGTGAGCCTCCGTCCGATTTCGCAGATTTCATGTCATTTTTGAAGACTTGAACAAAACGTTCTTCGATGCCGTTTGTTAAAGGATGGTACGGGGCACTTGTGATGTGCTTTATGCCGTTGTGTCGCAGGAAGCTTTTGAACTCTTCAGAGGTAAATTGCGGACCGTTGTCACTGACGAGTTGGGTCGGAAGTCCAAACCTTGCGAAAATTGTGGTCAGAACATCTATTGTAGCGCTGGAGGTAGTCGAAGTTGTGGGTATCTCTTTAGCCCATTTTGTGTGCGCATCAATGACTATCAGGACCATACAATTCATAAATGGACCTGCATAGTCTGTGTGTATGCGTTGCCATGGTTTTTCTGGAAACGTCCATGGGTGCTGTGATGAACTTTGTGGGTCTGGTTGTGACTACATGCAGCCAGTACAGCCTTTGGTCATTTGCTCTATGTCCTTGTCCAGTCCTGGCCACCAGAAGTATCCACGAGTCATGTTCTTCATCTTGACTATGCCTAGATGACCTTCATGCAGTTGTTGAAGGACTGATGTTTGAAGACTCTTGGGAACAATAGCCCGTGAATCCCACACTCGTGAACCCCACATTAAGCATCCTTGGTGGACGCCGAGTTCATCTTGTCTGTTCATATATATACGGCTTCATTTCACTTGGAACTTGTTGAGGCCAACCGTTTTGTGTGAAGTGGATGACCTTTGACAAGATGGTGTCAGTTCTTGAGGCCTTGTTAATGTCCGATGCACTGATTGGCAGTCCTGTAAGGATTTCATTATACATGTAATACATCTCTTCCATTTCGCCGTCATCTGTGCTTCTCACAGATAATGAAAGTCTTGACTGAGTGTCTGCGTTGGCATTGCTTTTGGAGTTCCTGTATTCGATGGTGTAGTTGAATCCTGATAGGAATGCAGCGCAGCGTTGCTGGCGTGCTGCCGATGTAGCTGGAATGCCTGTGTTCGGCCCGAAAATGAACTTCAGCGGTTGGTGATCTGTGATGAGAGTAAAGTGATGACCACATATGTAGTTGTAGTTGTAGTTGTAGTTGTAGAATTTCTTGACACTCTACACAATGGCGAGAGCTTCCTTGTCTATTTGGGAGTAATTCGAATCAGATTTCGAGAGGCATACGCTATTGGACGTTCTTCAATGTCCTCTGTAATGTGTGACAGCACAGCACCTATGCCGTAGGGTGAAGCACCACAGGCCAGTCTGCGACTACTGAGAGGAAGGTCTGGCTTGTAGCGGACCAGTACTTCCTCTGATGCAATCATGTCTTTTGCCTGCTGAAATGCTCTGCTGCACTCGGTAGACCAGACGAAAGGCGTGTTGTTTTGCAACAGCTCGTGGAGTGGCTTTGCGATGAGGGCAATGTTCTTGAGGAACTTGTGGTAGTAGTTGAGTGGTCCCAGAAATGACCTGAGCTGGGTTTTGTTCTCAGGAATTGGGGCATTGACTATGGCATCAACACTTTCTTGGGTTTTGTTGAGTCCATGTTTGTTGATTTTGAACCCGCAGAAGACGACTTCTTCTTGAAAGAATTTACATTTATCCTGGTCGGCCTTTAGACCGTTATCTTCCAGCCTTTTTATTACTTCTGCAAGATTTTCCAGGTGCTTCTTATCGTTTTCGCCTGTGATGATCATGTCGTCCTGGTTGCACTGGACACCTTCTGCACCTTGGAGTACATGTATTTGGTCAATTGTGCGTTGCCAGATAGCAGGCGATGACGTGATGCCAAAGACCAAACGGTTGAAAACATATAGTCCTTTGTGCGTGTTAATGGTGGTGAGAGGTCTGGATGACTCATCAAAGGGAGGCTGAAGATAGGCCTGGCAAAGATCGATCTTGGAGAATTTTTCTCCTGCTCCTGGTTGGGCGAAGAGATCTTCAATCCTTGGGAGGGTGTATTGTTCTGCCTCAAGGACTGGGTTGATTGTGATTTTGAAATCACCGCAGATACGTACATCCCCAGAGCGTTTGAGAACTGGAACTATTGGATTTGCCCACTCGGAATGGGTGGTCTTTGTCAGAATCCCAGCTGATTCCAGTTTTTCCAGTTCTTTCTC